GATATGGCTTCATTTTAAATGTGTGTGTGATATTGGGGAATGATATTGTCCAGTAGATCGCAGCATGTAATTACACCCATGTACAGCAATGCACTGTGGGTTTAGTGAGATCACATGAGAAATCAAGCATGGGTTCTGTGTTAAAGTGCCCCAATTATGGGTTATGAAAGGTTCATATTTTGGTTTTGGGAGTCTCCAACAACAGGTTGACATGCATGCAAGGTCAAAAAACACTTTCATTGTCTTATAATATGCATTTATTTTTACCTTACTTGCTCAACGACTCCCAAACGATTCGCTCAACAATTCATCTTTCCAAACCCCTCCTTTGCGTGACGCTAATCTGCGGTGATTGGTCCGATTGGTCTCATTTTTATTTCATCTCGCCTGTAATGCCTGATAAAGCAGCGTTTGTGAGCGCAGTGCTGCTTTGTGTACAGCATTACCGGAGAAACTGTTATTTTGACCGCTCCAAAAGCGGCACCTAGTGGCACAGAATGCATTTGCATTTTCATTCAGACCTAAGAGAAAAGACCAACAAGTGGGTGGGTAATATGCTAATGTTTCATGTTGACGTCAACATGAAACGGCTTGGGATTAGTTTTAAAAACGACTCGTTTCAATGATTCAGAGTCGACTCTTTCTTTTGAGAGACACTAACTTTATACATGGTGCACTTTCAGATTTAAACCTTTGCAGGATGTTTTCATTCACTTAGAGCCGAGTTACACACTGCATCAAAGGTGATTTTCAAAAATCCATAATAGGGTCACTTTAAACAAAGTTTTGTTTTTCATTAAAGAAATTAATAAGGACACATTTTTCACAATGAATTGTACTTGCATATTAAAAAGTAAGCTTAACTTTACGAACAGACTAATGAAACGAAGAGATAGAGGTTATTTCATTTAAGTATAACTTTGGGGCTAAAATTAGCTTTGGCGTTTTTTTAAAGCTTTTAACTTGTTTATCATATTTGTGTCATAATATCCTAACTATCAGAGGCTCTGGGACACATCAAATGTTAATGTGAAATTCTGAGACCTTTTCCCTGAAATTCTGCAGCAGCTGATATTATAATTGTTTGCCATTTAAATATAGTTATTTATAGAGTTTCATCTTTACCAATGTGTTGTTTTTATTAAAACACTTTGGTTGTGATCAAAGACCTTGTTGTGGTCTGGTCATATGTCTTTTCACAGATAAGGACGAGGAAAAGATGACCATAACTGTCATCATCAGTGCATTCACTGAAGGTCAAGTTAAAATATCTGAGAGTGCAAACTGATTGGCTTGTCATGCAAAATATTGTAATATGAAATTTGACAATCTAAATGAAACTCACATTTATTCTATTCAATAAAGACTGCTATATACAATCAATTCATTAAGGCCAAAAAATGCATACAGAGTCTCACAAAGCACAACAAATAATGCAGGGGTTTCTCAAAACCATCTTTATTCTCCTATTCACCTTAGGTGCAAATGTCATCATCATCATCACCTTTTGCCAAATCCAGGATTATTTTCTAGTGCAATGTCTCTTCCAGGATATCTGAATCACATTATGATCCAAACTCAAATTCAAGGCTCCACTGTCACACAGCAGGCTTGTGCAATACGTTCGTTTTGGTAAAACAAAACAAAAAAGACTGAAGAAGAGAGAGAAATAAATACATTTTCTTGTCATGTTGGACTTCGTGATTCACATTCAAAATTCACTTATTCATGCCACCAGCATACTGTGGACTAATCAGGTAAATGTTAACTAAGACACATAGAAACAGGAGTACATGTGATGTAGTTGTTTCTGGGGATGCATTTCTTTCAGTTCAGCTTGGTGAGATCTGGTCGGTTTCTTTGAATATGCACTCTAAAAAATGCTGGGTTAAATACAACCCAGTGCTGGGTAAAATAGGGACAAACCCAGCAATTGGGTTGTTTTGAGC